ATTCTTTCTGCTCCTTGTCACAATTGTTAAAGAACCACGTATGTATTGCATGAAAACATGATGACCTTTTCCTCTTAGTTTAAATAAACTCCAAGGTAACTGGATTTCTAAAGCACTTTGCTGTTTGCCTGATATCTATTTACCTTAGCAATAATTTTTTTTACGACCCTTTGACTCAAAGTAAATAAAGGTATATTTTATCACTGTTAAACAGCTGTGAATGTTCATTTATTTAATACATACCAATATTTTTGACATTTAGAAAGTAACTGAATTATTGTGGGGCTCAGTTACTTCACAAATCAATAATAGTGAATCTTAAGGCACCTCTCTGACAAGCATAAGGACCTGGGTTCAGTCCCCATTACTGCACGCCATGCCAGCCACCAACACCAGGTATGGTGGCACACGCCTGTAGTCCCAGCTCTGGGGAGGTTGAGATGGGTATCACTATGTGTCTGAGCTGCATAGTGAGACCTGGTACCAAACAAATAAATAAATAAGATTTAAAAAAAAAATTTTTTTTTGAAAGTAAATCTCTAGTGTCTGTGGTGGCACACACCTAATAATCCATCACTTGAGGTGCTAAGGCAGGAGGACCCTGAGAATTCAAGGCTCCTGTAGGCTACATAATGAGTTCAGGACCAGCCTGGGTGACATAGTGAGACCCTGTCTTAAAACACCAAAGGTTGGAGGAGAATAGGGTATCTCATAATGAATTTATTGTGTAGGATGAGATCTGCAGTGGGAATAGACAAACTTTCTCTAATATATACATTAAGAAAATTAAGGATTTTTTATACACAGATGACTTTAAGACTTATATCTCATTTCAGGAGCTGGGGAGATAGCTCAGTGGAATAAGTGCTTGCCTGGCAAGTGCAAGGTCCTGAGTTCAAACCTGGTACACCAAAAAAAAAAAATTTTTTAAAAGATGTATCTCATTTCTTCTTGCCTATATGATGAAAAATAATTTTAGTAAATATCAATTTAATTGTGAACACAAAATCTTTGAGACTCTACTTGGGTATTCCACCCCAAATTCAGGGCTGAACTAATTTAATTTCTGTCACATATTTTGTAATAAGCCCACTGTCTTAGCTACTTTTTTCACTAGTGGAACAAAATACTTAGCACCCAGAGTTGAAGGAAGAAAAGTTTACTTGGCTCACAGTTTGTAGAGGTTTACTCCAGCACAAGGTGACAGGACAGAGGTACCTGGGAGAGCAGAAGGCAGAGTAGCAGTATTCAGCACCAAGCAGAGACGAATGCTGCCCCTCATATCTTAGCCAGCATTCACACCTGTAATGCTAGCATTACCCATGAATTAATCCCAGTGTCAATGGCATCTTTGATCCCAGCAGCACATACTCAGGCCAGCCACCTTGGAAAAGTCCCACCTACTTACTACCTCATAAGGCTTAGGAAGGACATCTAGATAGAAGCTACAATACCCAGATTTTCCTATTTGGTGTTCTCTCAGGAACTGTGGATAGGGTTCCTTTTCCAATTAGGCCATGATTTTCTTTGGGTTCTGATAGCTCTCCTTTCTCAAATGTTCTCTTTGAAACACTTCCTTCATTTGTGACATGATTGACTTAAAAAATTCTGGGGTGCAAGAAAGTCTGTTCTCTAAGTAAAATAAATTGAACTCTAAACCCCATTGTCTTGAAGTAACAGGAAATTCAGTCTGATTTTTGTGACTTCATCAGCTCAAATTTATGTGAAAGTGCTAGAGGAGGATGTCCAAAGCAGATCATCCAAGGAGGTCTGTTCATAAATCCCTGCCCTGTTGTGTACAGTAACACTAATGTGTGGCGACATCCCCCTCCTTTTATTTTCCCCTTTACTTATGTGAAGGCTAAGTGCTAATTTGGTTGGAATATACCATAATTAGTGAAACTGTTGGCCAGAAAATACCTGAACTCAAGAGCAGTCTCAAAGGTTTCATCACACATCATATTATTCAGTACAGGATCTAACCAAATAACCTTACTCCTTTCTTGTGTTTTGGCTTTCTTCTCTCACACACTTCCTTAAAAAATTTTACTAAGCATCAGCTATGTGTAAGGCATTGTTAAAGGTATACAGAACATCAAGGGGGAAAAACAGATAATAAATATATGCCCAGGGTAATATGTGCTGTAGAGAAAAATAAAGCTGGGTAAAAGGAATAGGAAATGGGGGAACAAGGTAAATTGAATTGTTTCCATGATGTATGGATGGGTAGCAGAAGGCATCCTCAGCGAAGTAACATTTGAACAGAAATTAGAAGGAAGTGAGGAAAGACTTGTAAGGCTAGGATAATCCAAAAGAGGGGCCCACACACAAAGGTGTGTGAACAGCAAGGAGCCAGTAGGAGTTCAGGGCAAGACAGATGGTCAGCTTACATCCCTCCATCAGACTCATGTTTATTCATGAGTGATACACAGGTTATTAATTTTAAACTTTTGGTATTTTGGAAAGTAAGCTTCTAGTTAAAAGTAGATTATTGGATCTGTATCTGTGTTCTTTCAAACCACACTAAAATGACGATTTTTTAAAAAAATGACCTAAGTAATAAGAACCAAAGTCATTACAGGTATAAAATGTGGGAAGCTGGAAAGCTTGTGACTGCGTGTTATGGTACTAAACAAACCTGAGCTGCAGTTGAGTTGGCAATGGAAAGATTGTAGAAATGTGAACCCCAAAAGATTTTAGGGATTAAAGGTAATGGAGTGAAAGTGCAGTTGTCTGTAAGTCCATATTGAACCAGTGGACACACAGATCCTCTTTACCGTCTGTAAACCTTAGCTGTGGCTTCTCATGTGCTCCAAGGAGAGCTCAGATGCAGATTATCCTAAAGAGCACTTTGTAATGGTCGGTCATCAGCCCACTTCTCTCCTCAGCTCCTACATTGTTGGTAGTTAGGCTTACACCTCCTAGTGTTCTGTACTCAGGTGATTCTTTTCTTCATGTGGAAGTTGTGAAAGACCTCCATATCAGCTGGGGAGATAGCTCGGTGGTCTGAGTGCCTGCCTGGAAAGCTCAAGGACCAGGATTTGATCCCTGGTACCACATGCCATGCCAGCCCCAGAACACCTGCATAGTGAGACCCTGTACCAAATAAATTTTAAGAATAAAAGACTTTCATGTCAAACTGCAGCAAAAGCCCTTCTGTTGAAAAACTGTTCCTGTGTCCCTAAAATCTGTTGAGTTTTTGGACATAAGTAGATAGACTCAAATAAAATGTTTATTACTTTAAAGAACATTAAATGAGAGGTAGAGACCTAAACGAATGTAAATAGGGAAAACATTCGGAAACTTAAAGTCACTGTTGTCTGAGACATATTAGACATCACTGTGTAGCCCTGTGGGGTTTCCTCTTAGTTTACCACATACTCCAGCACTGTGGTAGGTGCCAATCTTTTTTTTTTTTTTTTTAACATTTATTTTTATTTATTTATTGTGTGTGTGTGTGTGGCCAGCTCAGCCCACCAGGGGGCGGGGCTGGCTGGCATGTGGTGCTGGGGGATCGAACCCGTGGTCCCTGTGCTCTGCTAAGCTTGTTCCACTAAGCCATCTCACCAGCCCTTTTTTTTAAAAAAAAAAAAAAACAGGATCTTACTATGTGGTCCAGGCTGCTCTTGAGTTCACTAGGTAGCACAGTCAGGCCTTGAACTTGCAGCAGTTTGTCTGCCTCAGCCTCACAAGTGCTGAGATTAAGGGGTGTGCATCAAAACATCCAGCAAAAGCCAGTGATTCTTGACAACCTTTGATAAACTGCAACAGGATATAGACTTCGTTCCATCCCTGGTTGTACCCGCCTCCCTACCCTGAGACTTCTTTGCCACTATAGCTGGAATGCAGTGAGAACTTCCTGGCTCTTATGTTGTAGATGTGAAATGTCCTCCAAAAACAGACAGACATTTCTTTCTTATTTATTTATTTATTTATTTATTTATTTATTTATGTTGAACCAGGGATTGAACTCAGGCCCTTGCGCTTGCCAGGGAAGCGCTTATTCCACTGAGTCATTTCCCTGGCCCTGACATTTATTTCTTATGGTTTAGGAGTCTTAATGTCCAAAGTCATGCTCTTGTATAAAGGGCCTTTTCTATAAAAGACCATACTCTTAGGAGGAGTCTGCCTTCAGGACACATTACTCTCATAATGACTCAACCTCTTAATGTTACTACATTGGGGGCTAGGTTTCAACTATAAATGGGGGCATACCTCATGACCCCCTTTGGGAATCTTCATACAGAAGATTCCTTTTTTAGAGCAAGAAAATAAATAGGTTATAGTAATTGCCACCTATGAGGAAATGATTGAGTAAATTACACAAACTGGCAAACTATACTAGCAAAAGACTAAAATGACTTAAATGTTTTTCAGAGGAGTAATTGAAAAACTTTTGAATATATATGAATATTAAATGTATATTAGATATTAAATATATGAATATGTTTAATATATATGAAATTATAAGGGATTGGGTCACATCCATTAAAGAATCTGACAAACTTGTATATCTACAGAGTGAAACAGTAAAGATCCATGATCAGGTTGGTTGAGAGCTCGTCAATGGACTAAGCACCTGCTTAGGCAAGTGCAGGGACTAGAGTAGATCCCCAGCACCACATGCTGCACCGGCCCCACCCCAGGCTCGCTGAGCCAGCCATCAAGATTGGATGCAGTGGCATGCATCTGTAATCTGAGGAGGCTAAAAGCAGGAGGTATGAGTCCCATCTGTGTAGTGAGAC